AGAACCAGATGTGGGTCGGGGGAGGAGACTCCACCATCTTGCTCTGATGCTGCCGGCTTGTTGTCATGGAAACCAAAGCCACTCTCTTAGGAAGGACCCATTAAGGTGCAGGAAATAATCAAGGTTCTCTCTGGCAGCCCCCTGCCCTTCCTGGTGGGAGACAACCACTGTTTGAGCCCTTGAATATTGCAGCGTTTTAGTTCTGCCCTCGTCCCTCACTTGCCTCCCTACAAAAAACTTCTCCAAAACATACGCAAGGGAGCCAGGCAGGCGTCAGAGAAGACCCTCAAGGTTTCTGAACCGACTCCTCCCCAAGCCTGAGTCTTCAGTTCCAGCCCTAGCTGGGGACGATTCGCTGGGTGACCGCCACAAGCTCCTGTCTGCGTCTTGGCATCCTTTCCTGGGAAAATGACCGAGAGATACATTATAATTGCCACATTGTCTCTGAATACCAAACTGTTAGAGGGGTGGAAGGTAGGGGTTCAACTTGCAGACTGTGCATCAAACTGCCTGGATTGGGCTGGGCGTGGTGGTTCACGCCCATAATCCCAGAACTTTGGGAGGCCAAGGCAGGCAGATCACTTGAAGTCAGGAGTTCAAGACCAGCCTGGTCAACATGGTGAAACCTCGTCTCTACTAAAAATACAAAAATTAGTTGAGCGTGGTGATGGGTACCTGTAATCCCATCTACTCGGGAGGCTGAGGCAGGATAATCGCTTGAATCCGGATGGCAGAAGTTGCAGTGGGCTGAGATTACACCATTGCACTCCAGCCTGGGTGACAGAGTGAGACTCCATCTTTAAAAAAATGATAATAATTGCTACATTGTCTCTGAATACTAAACTGTTAGAGGGGTAGAAGGTAAGGGTTCAACTTGCAGACCCTAGATGAAACTGCCTGGATTGGAATCCTTGCAGCTGTGCAACCTCGAGCAACTTGCTTGACCTCTCTGGGCCTCAGTTTCCTCTCCTGCAAAACGGGGTGCAATAAGACTACCAACCTCGCAGGAGATCATGTGTCTAAAGCCATCAAAACAGTGTCTGAATAAGGAAAATGTGGTATATCCATGCAACGGAAATATGACTCAGCCATGAAAAGCAATGAGGCTCTAACACAGGCTACAGCAAGAACCTCGAGGACGTCAGGCTCAGGTGAGAGAAGCCAGACACAAAAGGCTACACAGTGTGTGATCCCATTTCTATGACATGTCCAGAACAGGCCAATCCAGAGAGACAGAAATCAGATAAATAGCTGCCAGGGGCTGGAGTGTGGGAAGAAGAATGAGGAGTAACTGCTTTTTTTTTTTTTTTTTTTTTGAAGCAGAGGCTTCGTGTTGCTCAGGCTGGGGCGCAGGGGCACAATCTTGGCTCACTGTAATCTCTGCCTTCTTGGTTCAAGCCATCCTCCCACCGCAGCCTCTCAAGTAGCTGGGATTACAGGTGTGTGCCACCACGCTTGGCTAATTTTTTTTTTTTTTTTTTTGAGATGGAGTCTCGCTCTGTCGCCCAGGCTGGAGTGCAGTGGCGCCGTCTCAGCTCACTGCAAGCTCTGTCTCCTGGGTTTACGCCATTCTTCTGCCTCAGTCTCCGCAGCAGCTGGGACCACAGGCGCCTGCCACCATGCCCGGCTAATTTTTTATATTTTTAATAGAGACAAGGTTTCATCGGCCTCCCAAAGTGCTGGGATTACGGGCATGAGCCACCGCACCCGGCCTTAATTTTTGTATTTTTAATAGATCCAGGTTTCACTATGTTGGCCAGGCTGGTCTCAAACTCCTGACCTCAGGTGATCCACCCGCCTTGGCCTCCCAAAGTGCTGGGATTACAGGCATGAGCCACCATGCCCAGCCTCCTCTTTCTTTTTTAAGAGAGGGTTGTGAGCAACATAGTAAGACTCAAACTGGTCTCAAACTCCTGGCCTCAAGCCATCTTCCCACCTCAGCCTCCTGGGCAACTGGGATGACAGGACATGAGACATTGCACCTGGCTAACCTGTGGATTTTGACACTTAACTCTGGGTGATTACAATCATAATTTAATTGCTCTATGGCCGGAGTAGAAGGCTCACCGAGAGTTGCACCACATAAATTAATCATGTTCAAACACACGTGAAAACCTTCGATGGTCTCCGATCTCTTCCACATCGTACCCCCCATGGGAATGCAAGTTCCTTTCAGAACAAAGCGCACACAGATATGTGCCTTTTCGGGGCCTCAATCGGAGGAGGGCATTCTACTATGGTGGTCTCCCAATCAACCACACAAATTAATCATTTCAAACTGAACACACCTCCAATTTCTCAGCCCCAGCTTCCTCC